CTGAGGCCGAGGGAGCAGGGACCGGGGAGACTGAGGCCGAGGGAGCAGGGAGACTGAGGCCGAGGGAGCAGGGAGACTGAGGCCGAGGGAGCAGGGACCGGGGAGCCTGGGCCCTCGACTTCCGTGGTGAGATCCTCATGGGGCGGCGTGTTGGCCACCGGGACCGGAGTCGACAGGAATGGCGCGGGCGGAGCCAGGGCCTCGGGCGCCAGAGCAGGAGCCGCGGGGGCCTCGGGCCCTAGAACAGGAGCCGCGGGGGCCTCGGGCCCTAGAACAGGAGCCGCGGGGGCCTCGGGCCCTAGAACAGGAGCCGCGGGGGCCTCGGGCGCCAGAACAGGAGCCGCGGGGGCCTCGGGCGCCAGAACAGGAGCCGCGGGGGCCTCGGGCGCCAGAACAGGAGCTGCAGGGGACACTGTAGGGGCCACGGGGAATCGAGCGGGGAGCTCAGGGGACTGGGCAGCAGCAGTAACAGGGGCCTCAGGAGCCTCGGGGAGCACAGGAGTCACGGGGACCTGAGCAGGAGTCACGGGGAGCACAGAAGTCATAAGGGGCTGAGCGGGGAGCACAGGAGTGGTCTCGGGCGGTGCGCCAGCAGGGGGCACCAACTCCGGGCCAGCAGGGGGTAGTACAGCTGGAGCAGGCGCCTCGGGGGGCGCAGCAGGCACCTCCGGAGCCTCGGGGGGAGCAGCAGGCGCCTCCGGACCAACGGGGGGCGCTGCAGGCGCCACAGGCACCGGACCAACAGGGGGCGCTGCAGGCGCCGCCAGCACAGGCGCCTCTGGGGGCGCCGCAGGAACAGGAGGAGCCTCGGGGGGTGCAGCAGGCGCCTCAGGCTCCGGGCCAACAGGGGGCAGTACGGGGACCGCTGGGGGCTGAGCAGGGGCCACGGGCGCCGTAGCAGCAGCAGCAGGGGCTGCGGACGCCGTAGCAGCAGCAGCAGGGGACTGAGCTGGGAGCTCTGGAGTCATGCGGAGCACTGGAGTCACAGGGAGCTGAGGGGGCTGCACAGGGGACTGGGCCGGGGAGACAGGAGTCAGGACCTCAGGCGAGGTAGCCTGTGAGGCCACAGGCGTGGCGGCTTGGACGGGCGAGCCGGGCTGGACAGGCAGGAGGGGCGAGCCGGGCACAGCGGCGGCATCAGGCAGGGCCGCGGGCAGAGCGGCGGCATCAGGCAGGGCCGCGGGCAGAGCGGCGGCATCAGGCCGGGCCGCGGGCATGCGGCCAGCAGGGGGTGCCTCAGCGGGCACCTCGGGCGCGTGGCCAGCAGGGGCCTCGGGGAACGCTGCAGGAGCCACGGGGGCCTGAGCAGTGAGCTCAGGAGGCATAGGGAGCACAGGGGACGCCAGGACCAGGACCTCGGGCGGTACAGCAGCAGCTGGAGGCACAGGCACCTCGGGGGCGAGAACAGAGACCTCAAGGGGCGCTGCCGGCGCCACAGGAACCTCGGGGGGCGCTGCCGGCGCCACAGGAACCTCGGGGGGCGCTGCCGGCGCCACAGGAACCTCGGGGGGCGCTGCAGCAACCGAAACCACAGGCGCCTCTGGGGATGCCACAGGAGCAGAAGGAGCCTTGGGGGGCGCAGCAGGCGCCTCAGGCACCAGGCCAACAGGGGGCACTGCTGCAGCCAGAGGCACAGGGGGTAGAGCTGGAGCCTCAAGCGGTAAAGCACGGGGCACCGCCGGAACCACTAGCTCAGCACCAGCAGGGGGTGCCACAGGGGGCAGAGCTGCAGGCAGGGGAGCCACTGGGGAGGCAGCTGCAGCCTCAGGAACCACGGGGGGCGCTGCCCAGGTCGGAAACTTGGGAACCCGCGGAATGGAGTCCCAAACGGCCCTGGCCCCTTTAAGGACCAGGCGCCACCCGGAAAATGGGCCAGCTGCG